GAGCAAATAACTGCGCGATCCATTCATTTTCTGAGTTTTCTTTTCAGGTTTGCGATTGCTTCGACGGCTATTGTGGTCATCTGTGTGAACGAAGGATCCAACCGAAAGACTATGAGGTCCTGTTTGTTTCATACACAGCAAAAAGTGAAGGTCTGCCAAATGTTGGAAGTGGGGCGGAGGCTTCAGCAGACCGTTCGCATGCTCCTTCGCTGATTGAGCAGATGAGGGGCGATTCGATAAGGCTTTCCCATAGCAGTGTAGAGTAAATGCCTTTACGACTGCGAGTTCGATAAGAAGTGACTGCTGCTAATTTCTCTCCTCACTTCTCTGAGGGTACAGTCTATATCTGGAGGTGAAAAGGGGCGTTTCCAAGTGCACTCAACATACCTCAACGCGGAAACCGTGGCTTCATATGTATTTGAACATGGAGTAGTAGGGGTTATTCATGGGATGTTTTAATTTTGAGCAGCTATCGTTTTCTCTTCTATTGGACAAAGGCATGATTATGAGTGCCTCAGAAGAAAATATCGCGGCTCAGCTGACGTCACGCTCAAGTAAAGTACGCTACCACGCCTACCGAATCTCTGAGATTTGCATAAGACATAATTGGGAGCCTATCGAGGGATGCGTGTTCCCATGTTCACTCTAAAACGATACCAGTTGCTGGAATCTGACCACTTTTCATTTATTCACTAATTTTTTCCTCCGAAGTGTGCAGATCACAGATCGGCCAAAAACTGAGAGCTTCAAAATAATGAAAAGCTCCGACTAAAAATGATCCGGTTATCTGTGCTTATCTCTTACCAGTGTATTGTGAAATGCAAGCAGCAGTGGGAAAAGGTGATGAAAAAATTGTTTGTGAGCCAAGACAGTGATTTACTGCCTACTAGACACCACATTCTGTCAATGGTTGATAATTGCAGTCGGATTTTCAGCCTTGTCTTTTCGGCTCCTCGAGAGAACTCCATGGAGCGCAAGGCATATCTCGAGAAAGAATCCGATGAGGAAGATTATAGTGAAGAAGAAGAAGAATGGAGTTTTTGGTCGTCAGATAATAGCCACTGGATCGCTTTCATATTGGTGAGCCTTCAGTTTCTTTCCTCAAATACTCCCTCACGACTAGTTCCCTTCAGCTCCTAAATACGACCCCCTTGCTAAGGATCCGCTGCGTACGATTTGCTCCGACTGACACGTTAAACTGTTTCGCATACGCTAAAAACGTGTTTCAAGAGAGAACAAGCGAAGCAGATGGAACAAGGGAAAATCCTTCATGTTGTCCATGTGACCCCTTCCCCCCGCTACAGCTTGTTTATCGTTGAAAGCGGGATGTTTGAACTTTCATTAGGAAAGAGGTTATAAATTCACAGATATAAAAACACGTTAACTCCATTACAACTGGATCAATGCTTATAAGTTCATAAGCCTTAATTGGGATATTAATCTGCGAGAAATAAATAATAAGATTCAAATCATAGACCGTTAGCAACGATATGTTATTCCAGCTGCATCTCGTGTTGGTTACCATCGCTCTGACGGCAGTGACAGTTGCAGTGATTTGCTACCTGCGTCGAAAGAAGTCAAACTATCACGCTCTGAGTAAGTTGTGCATAAAGTTGAACCACCCACTGGCTAGTCGTCTCACGAACATCAGAGTCGTGCCCACTGAGGACTCGATCCCATTCGTGTTCCTTGCGAGTACTGTATTTGTCCGCTAGACTATTGAAACCCTATGAGTTTTCTCCCAACGTTTCAATGGTGCACTTGGCACTTTCTATGAGCATATTATAAGCGCAGTTAAGATCAGCAGTGTTTTCACTTATAAAATCTCTTGTTGATTTTTGAATATCATTTTTGGAAAATAGTTACGCCACATTAGTGAATGAAAGGACTATGGTCGTTTAATTTGAAACAAATTAAAGGAATCCACGTATGACCTATGATAATATAATACATTGCTTAGAAGGGTAGGGTGGTCTGCAATATATAACCTGGTACCATATTCTCGACAGAAAGTTGTACGGTAGAGGCACTAGGGCAATGTTGCTACAGTGGAACGTTTTTGAGTGACTCCGCCTCGATCTCTGCCTTCGGGTTCCGCTTCCCACCAAGAAAAAAGGTGGTAGGAGCGAGTAGCATAAAATAGAATGTCCCTATCTATTATCTATTGTGACCTGAAAGGTCGCAGGGTTCATTGCAGAATCGGCTGGCTGGTCTTCTTCCAACATGAGGATCTTGTTGCCATGGGCTCGTGCTTGAGACGAAAGAGGTCCTACAGCGGCATGTCCTGCAATCATATCCATTTCTCAACACACATTTCTTACCGCGGACAGTCCTTTAAGGACTGTAAAGGCTTGAAACGTCACGGAGGGACTAGCTTGCGTCCCGCTGCTCAATTGACCAACTCTAAAAGGGGACAATCCGAGCCTTCCCAGTGAGTAGCGTATCTTGAAAGGTGTCTGTCAAAGCTCAACGCTTATGCCTTCCTTTGATTATATGACCGAGAGCAGATTGAATGGTCTCAATTCTGACCACTGAGCATTTGAGCTCTCAATTCTGACCACTGAGCATTTAAGCTAAGTCCAGTACATAGCGCTATCTCAATTTTGTTCTGGCATCGCGAATTTCGTCTGAGAAGTCAGTCGATGGTGACTGTTCAGGCACGAAAGAGAAGATTCAATTGCTCTTACCGAATGGGCTCGGAAACTTTGGCTGCTGAAGCGCTGAGAAGTTCACCGGCTCAGATTTTTTCACCAGTACGCGTATAGGAACAACGGCAATCAACGTCTATGCACAAAACGCTCAAGACTGGTTAACCACAGTCATTCAGCATACTGGTTTTCATACTACCCCCTTGTTTATGTGTTTTCTATTTGGTCAGGGTATTAGGTTCTACTGTAGCTATTCTTCTCCTATTGTTGTTAACGCCTTATATTTGCACCCTTATTTGTGAAATAAAACGTGAACTAGACGACCTCATCCCGACGAAACACGACTTC